TGTAATACATAAGAGCTGCCTGACATTGCAGCATTCGTTCTCTGCTGCTATTGCCTAGCAGGGCTAAAAGCACTGACGTCTTTTACAGTTCTGCTATTGCCATTATCCATTTCAATGGGGTTTAAATGTAAAAGTGAAATTGATGGTGTTAGAGCATGAATTTCAATCACGCTAAGAAAGAAGATATTGATGGGAGCTAGCAAGGGAGTTCTGGACAAAAATACTGCAGGGAGAAGCTGAAAGGCTGATTGCTGTAAGCCCAGTGACTGTGTTATAAAGTTACAGATCTACCTCACAGTAAAAGATATCAGCCCATGTTGCATGACTAAGGATGAGGTGAATTTATCCTTGTTAGTATTATAGCAACAGTCTCCTTCCTCCTCGCTGAGGTGGGACTTCATGGGAAAAAAACTCCCAAGTCTTCATTCAGCTTTTTATCTGAGATTTAAGGTGTCCCTTCACATTCATCTTTGTAGTCTGGGTGATTTCTTGTGGCTACAAACTACCGTGCTTCTGGTAAAAAACATACCTTTGTAATTGTAGTGCAGTGAGTCTTTACGGAGCAGTAGAAGAGATACTTTGTGCCATACAAATTATAAAGGACACAGTAACTCAGGGTTAGCAAAACTAATGAGAAAGAGGTAAGGCTGTTTCGCAAGAGCTTAATGAGTTGGATTTTAACTTCCACAGCAGATAACCAGAGCTGTGAGCAACCTTGGCACAAATTGAAAACAGAGTCACAAAGTGTTATGTGGTCCATTGAAACACCTCTGGCACAGCTATTGATCTGACCCCTGCTTGGATTCAGGCAAACATCAATGGCAGAGTTTCCTCTGGGTCTGTGGTCAGCTCTTCCTTTGCCTGCTTCTGCATGCCCCATGTCCTAAGACTTAATGCCATCACCAAGAAGCGTGCAACTTTCTGAGAAACACAGACATGTTTTTGGGATCTCCACATTTATCTTGGGTTGCAAACGACTGAAAAGGGTTGTGTGATGTTGTGATTTATTTGTATTTGTGCTTCTATGACAGCAGCATGCTCTGTACCTGTTTAACTGGTTTAAATCAAATTTAAATGCTAAACAAGCTTAAAACAGCAGAGTTACTCAACAGAGCTGTGGTCTGAATTACAGAATTATAGATGAGCTTATAAAGAAGAAAATGAAATTATAATGTTATATTTCAGACTCTACTCCACAATAAAAATCCTTTTTAGCTTTTATCATATTTCAGCTATCTGGAGGGAGAAAGGGCAAAGAAAGGGATGATCTTCAAAACAGAAGCCCTTCTGCCTTCTTCAGTTTAATGTTTCCAAGCCTACTGTGTCCCTGAATACTATCCCTCCTAGTTTGAGTGACTGTCTTACTCAGCAGAACCTTTTGTGCAAGGCTTTCTCAATCATGTCCCGTAAGCATAACATTTTGTAAGGTCCTGTTACTCTTAGGCAATAATCATGACACAGTCATTATTAACAAGGTGGATTACAAACTTAGCATTTAGAGTGTTCTTTCTAAATAAATTCCCTTTCCCACTTCCTGTTAGTTTGGTGTCCCATAGAATCTACTCTGCAGTTTAAATTGCAGCCTCAGTTTCCTCCATCTACTTCTTGCTAAGCCTAAAGTGGGAGAAAAAGGCTTATAGGATCAATGTGTTCAAACCATTAGAGGGAAGATATGTGACAATGTGCCCAAGAAATTTTGAGGCATAGTGACTGACAAAGGTTCCTAGCAAGCAACAATAATAATGTGTATAAAGTCGATTTTTATTCAAGATTTCCTCAGGGATGCCCTTTATTACCAAAAGATGCTGTTTGGTGATAAAAATAATTATGGATGTTTAGCAAAACATTTCTGTTGTACTCTTAATAAAATGTCTTTTTCCTCTGCAAGAGTTTTGAGATCAGTATGTACCAATGTGTGAAAACATGATTTTATCTTTATAAGAATTTGTTATGAGCAGTCTTTGAAATGCCTCTCTCAAGCTGCAGGTTTCCCCATTCAGTCTGCGCTGTTTCTTGTTTATCCTCTTGCCAGTAGCATCTGCAGCCAAGGCTTTCTGCAGAGTCAGATCACAGCATCTGAAATGCAGTGTCCCTCCTTAGTCAGGGATGTCTTCAATAGACTAGATGTAGGACTAAATAAAAATTGATTTTGTTCAACAAAATGGCCACATGCATTTCAATGCAAACACATCCCCCTGGTCCCACAGTTGTACTCAGTAGTGGTAGTCCTACTTGGAGAAGTGTACTGTGGTGATGGTTTGACATTCTTAGCCATATGGCTGGATCCTGTTGGGTAAGCCCACAGCCAATACCAGTTCTAAAGACTCTGAAATCTATATTTTTCTTTAAAAACTAAGAAAGTGAGATCTTCTTCTCTGACTATACAAAGGAGTGGCCACATAGAGGTGACAATGTATTCCCTGTAAAGGCAAACCTCAACTTTGGTTATGCACTGTCACGGTTAAGTGTTTAACCCCAGGGTGATCACAGCACTGCAGATTGAGTCTACATTAAACTGCACTTAACGCTTTCAAGTTTCTGAGATCATTAAAAAGATAAAATGCTACAAACTAAATAGTTGTTTCATGTAGCAGGTCTTCCTCTTATTTATTGAATTGCAATATTAATGATAATAATATCTGGTATTGCAGTGGAGGCTACGGTTAAGGGACTGGGGTCTCGTAGTGCCAGGACTTGGCAAAATAAAACATAAGATCCTTTCAACAAAGCGTTGTCAATGCATCAGTGGAAGTGACTAGTTAAGGTAGGTGTCTTAACTTGTAGTTCTTGAGCTGTGTGAGGCTCACAGAAGGTGGAAGTATGGTGTGAACATGGGATTTGTGTGCAGTGACAGCTGGCTGGGTGATGCTGGTCCATAACCAGCATCCCTGGCCAGAGGAGGAAGGCTGGCAGCAGAGCCCATTGTGGCTGTGCTGTTTGGCTGGATGATGACACAGCTGCATACTCACCCTGGTATCTGGGGTGGAGGCGGCTGGGCAGCCTTTGTCAATGAAAAGATACTTGTCTCCATTAGTACTTGAATTTTGTGTTCTTTGTGGTTTAGGCTTATAACTTGGGTAATACTCGGAGAATGTAAAGGCAAGAGGCTAACATACTTAATTTAGAGAGATATGCAAGGCTTTCTACAAGGTTTTTCAGGGCAGCTGAACTGGCTCCTTAACAAGGATTGCATTAATATATTCCTGACTTTTTGTCTAAGTCCTGCTCATTTCATGTGATTTTATTCAGTAAGTGGAATAAAACCTGTTTTGAGAGTCTGCCAGCATGTAGCGTATCTGTGGCTCCCAAGAGAAGGAAATGTGGATCTCCAGGTGCATCTGCAAGTTGGAAAGTGTGTACAGGAATCCACCTGGATCCTGTACTCACAGACAAAGCACTCCTGCACACAGACCATCAGCAAGCCTAATAGTGAGGGAGCACTCTGAAAAGTGAGAGACAGAAAGAGACCTGAGAGCATGAGTGAAAATTAAATTCTAGACCTTTTTTATCTGTGTTGCTTTATCACTAGGTATGTTTTCAAAGCAAGACCTTGCAATTAATTAGCTGAGTTTTCTTGCCTATGATATGAAGATTATTGACATTTCTATAGAAATGATTAATAGTCAGTCTGGAAATTACCAGTTTGTCTAAGTAGGGTATACAGTAATACATCTTGAAAACCAGCTGACATAGTTAATTCACAAAGCTATCTATCTATGTTATGAATGCCCATTACATCGCCTTTTCACTGCTCACATGTGCCTGCACACACAAACACACAGAATCTCAGTTTTCCTGCAATGCATTAGAGTAAATAGAAAGCTGCTTTTCTGAAGTCTCTCTCTCATTCTGTATTCTTAAAAGAGGCAGAATTAAATGGAGGGGATGGGATTAAAATAAGGAAAGCAATAGTAGACATGTATTTAAACCTAAAGCCTTCTTCTGTTAATTCAGTTGTTCAATTTAAATTTTAATAGCGATTAATAAATTACACAAATTATAACACTTTGAACTTGGGTGTGGGCCAGTGGTGTTATATATCAGCAGTGTTGAGCTCTGGAGCTTCAGCATGCTCATGCATATTCATCTAGTCCTAACCAGAGAAATAATAGCATTATCACCTAGTTAGTAATCAGATAATAGAAAACTCATCTCTGGGAGTTTTGACTAGAATGAAAAATAGTTTCTTGTTGTGTTTATTAGCTGGAGTACTAAGGACTGAGCTGTTGGGAGGTAATGATTGATAATTTAATGCATTTCTGAATGTGGGTATATGAGCATCCTGATGAAGCTAGAATTAGCTGTTTCAGTCCCTCACTGGCTTACCGGGTCTCCTTTATCTTATGATAAAGTATATTTGCAGTAGAATTCTACCTTGCACAGAGTGTTGACTGGCACGCTAGCTAAAGTGTTGTTGCAGTTCTTGACTATTCTTAATTATTCTATTTTTCCAGTGGAAAATATATGGGGGACTTTTAGTATGTATTAATGGTGTCTGTATTGTTTAGCTTCATTTATTGGATTTTTCCTATACATACTAGTAGACTTCTAATAGACATGGCTACATTTTCAGAAGAAATGGTTATAGTTATGTAAATTTCAAAACTAGTAAATTACATGTGAGCCAATATATGAAAGCAAAACATGTGCCTGAGGTGAGGCAGTCACCGAATTAGTGTTTTGCCCATCTGTCTGGTCTCCTATAAATTCAATGTTACTGTAGTACACCTGTAGTAGCAACACATTTGTGTATGACTGAATGTGATAAATTAGGTACTTGAAAATAAATGTGTCATTAACTTGCTCTGCCTTCTGAAACCTGACAGGCTATATCCAGAAAAACAAAAAGGAGGTAGTAGAATCAAGGTGTCGGGGGGGGGGGGGGGGGGGGGGGGTCAGCATAGACAACACTGTAGCATATATTGACATTAAAAGCTTCACTTTTCAGGCAGCTTCAATGGAGCACTGAAACGTGTATCTTTCCTGTCTGTCCCATGCAGGGAATTACTGGAATGCAGCATCTTTTGTTACTTCATCATCCTACCTTCACTTCTCCACTTTCCAAGGGGAAACCAGCGCAGACATCTCCTTCTACTTTAAAACATCTGCTTCAGATGGGGTGTTTCTTGAGAATCTGGGGAACACTGACTTTATCAAATTGGAGCTGAAATGTAAGTATGTGCTTCCCATCACCCTTGGCACCTGAAGCAGGTTCATGTCAGACAGTAGGTTTCAAGTAATGTGTATCATTCAGTAAACTGTGTAAGCTCACTAAATTCTGGGGAGCACCTTCCAAATCAAGCTGCTTGACTTATTTTCAAGTTGCCTTGTGCAAGAGGCATGCTGGAAGGATATTTGGATTGTTTATTGAGGGGATAAACACAAAGAAGAATGGAACTGGTAACATCAGTTACAAAAATGACACTGACCTGAAAAGGCTTTTCAAAATTGCATGCCAGATTTATTTCTTAAAAGTGTATGTCTTCAGCTCTGTTGCTTTTCTGTTTTATCTCACGCTTGTTATGGAAATAGGGAAAAGAAAGAAAAAGAGGGAGCATCTTAATCAGCTCTTTAAGGAGCCAAAGAGCTGAAAAATTGCATATGATATTTAAAAGCCCTAAAGAATCTCATAAAAATAAATCTTTATCAGCATTATCTGTTAATAAAATCGCTGATCTGAAAAAAGAGGGCATAATGATACCAAGAGACAAGTTGATTTTATTATTTAAACCATTTTTAATGGCCCAGGGACAAACTTCCCAAGGCATGTGCCAAAATCCTCAGCTGTGCTTGAATTCTGCTTAGTGAAATTGCAGCAGTTGAATCGGGGGGTGGGGAAATGTTTCATGTCTCCTTTGTTCTCCCTCGACCAGTTTAGCCTGCCATAAATGGGAGCCGGCAAGAGGCCTGCTGTGCTATGTGCGGCTGTTACTACAGCCTTTAGTGGCACATTAAAGCATCAGGGTTGCATCCATGCAGCAAGCTGCCTCCCAGCACCAGGAAAAACATTCCTGCTTCCTCTTGCTGCAGGAGCTGCTCATGGATGCCAAAGACCCAGCTCTAAATATTGACGCACGTAAGTCAGTATCCAACGTCGCTAATGTTGGAAGAGAAGAAACTGTTTGCGTGCCCCAAATAATCTTTGCATGTAGATTCAGTGTGATTTATATGGGCCCATGTAATTTTAAAATAAAAAGGTGGTTTTGACGCTTCTCAAAGTCTGAAGACAGAAATTGGAATGTGGAAACTTAGAAACCACCAGGAACTGGTTTCTAAATTTAAAATGTAACTAAATTTTCCCGCTGGGTAGGAGTAAAGTGCCAAGTTCCAAGGGGGTGAGAGCTTCTTTCACTCCTTCTGCAGGGAATTTAGTTGATGTTGCTTAATCCCAGTTTTCTGTAATCCGCAAATGGTGCAAATCAGAATAGCTCCTGTTGAGTCACAGTCTCTTTTTTATTAACAAGGAGTACAACCCTTTAATAACGAAGTGGCAGCTATTTCTAATTTCACTTTGATTTTAAGTAGTACAGTCAGCTGAGGTGGGCATTTCCAGAGCTTCTTGCTCTTCTACTGTATGGAAAAATGTTGTTAGCCACTGTAGTTACCAGACCAGCCATGCTGTTAACTTAGCTAGAAGGTGACAGTAACAGTGAATAAAGGTGACTTGGTAGTGACTATAATTCTTACTCAATGCGGTTTAAATAATAACCACCTACAGTGGCTCACTGAGTAGATGCACCAGCTCCTGAAAGCCTGTGGCTGTGTACCCAGAGTATCATTAAACAGAAGTTTCATTTTAAGCCTGTGCTTGAGATGCACTGACTTTGCTGTGATCTCGCATATGCATAAATTCAACCTGTGCTTCATGTCCCTGAATCTAAACCTTAGATTACAAATTCTCGAGGGCAGAAATATGAAATTTCACCTCTTAAAACACTCTGTGAGATCAAACAGACTGGTGCTGCTTAAAGTAATAAAATACTCGTGATTAAAACTATCCTGACTGTAGTTGCTAAAAAGTACAAAGCCGTTCATTCGATGTAATTGCATTCTTTCCTGGGAACTACTGCTTGAAATTTTTAGGGCCCCAGAAAACAGGTCTTTCTGTGAGTTAAATGTTCTACTGGTCACAGCTCAGAAACAGTTGAATGCTGTGGGTGTAGTAACAAAGAGAAACTCATTCTCTCTTCTGAATTACATGTTTGTTTAATGAATGTTTGTTTATACAGTTTTCATGGGGCTTTTTCATTCCAGTCTGCATTTGCTATTTTTTTTTAATTCACTCAAATGTAAAGTAAAGATTCAGAATTTCAGAAGTTCCTTACAGGGCTTGCAGTGGACTGCTGCTTCTAAAAAGTCTGTTTCCCCTTTACAGAAGTGCCATAAAATTAATATATGAATTTATTTCTTAATAGGAACATAAAGTTAAGTCCGTAAGGTAATTACCCCTAAACCCTGAAAAAGGTTTCCTTTGGCAAGCTGCTTTCTAGCTAACCCATCAGATTCTCTAGTAGAATCATAGAATCACAGAATAGTTAGGGTTGGAAAGGATCATCTAGTTCCAACCCCCCTGCCATGGGCAGGGACACCTCACACTAAACCATCTCGCCCAAGGCTTCGTCCAGCCTGGCCTTGAACACTCCCTGTTTTGTAGTAAAGGTTTCTGCATAGTGGCCATCATCACATATTTACTGCAAGCTGCTGCACTTTGGGCAGTGGCTGCGTTGCTTTTGTCTGTTCATTGCCCTCTCCTACAGGTACATTTCTCATTGAGGAAGAATGACTTCCTACAAACCTGTTCTTGATTTCTTTACTTTGCACAGTTCCGAAAGGAAAACTTGAAATCAGTGTCCTAACAACAGAAAGTGCAAATTCTAATTTATTCTTCCCTTATGTGTGAAATACTTGTGTGTACCTCTAATACATGGTTAGTGATGCATAAACTTAGCTCTGCAGAGCAGGAACTAAAAGGTTCTACAATATCCAGTATTTTAATCAGCTTGTTGCGCTTGGTGAATACATTAGGGAAGTAAATCATTCAGTCTGTAAAATATTCTTACCTTCAAGTCTTTGGGAAGGAGTTTGGTATTGCATGTTTGATTCCGAGCACAAAAGTTGTCACTAGGCACATTCAGTAAGTTATTTTACTGTTGTGCTGTCTTGAAGTTTCTTCCAATCTAATAACTGGACAGGATTTTTTCTAAATCTCTAATGTTGTAAGAAAAGGAAGTGGAATTTGCAGTGCCTTGAAGAGTAACTTCATGTGCCTTCAGCAAAGCTCCAGATTGCCATCTCTGAGGAGAGGTGGAATACAGGAAGGGAAGAACATGTTTCTTTGATTTAAGGAATAGCTTTTCCAAACAGCTGACAGAGAAGACTGTCATGAAAATAACTGTGATAAAATGCTACTCTGAATGTGGCTGGGGTCTTCAGTTATTCCATTTATCAAGCAGCTCCTCTGGCAGGCCTGTACTTCTCACCATTCGTGGAACAGTTGGCAGAGATGTAGAACTACCTGAAGCCTCACTTTTTGCATACGTCAGTAAATCTACAGGACCCCATTATTTTTATAGCTGTCAGGTCAGCTGACAGTGCCTAGGATAGCTTAGAAAGGAGGTAGATGGATAAGTATAACTTTTTCTCTAAAGCAGTGCTTCCAGAAACCAGACATCTCTGGTCAAAATTTCCATATGCTTTTTAAAATAAACTTGGGTTTTTGTACAGAGATAAAACCCCATTGTTTTCTCTCTTAGAGCTTTCCTATACTTTTTTGGAAGGGTTTAAGCTAAAATCCCGTCTTCCTATAAAAACACAATTGAGAACATTAAGAACACTATTTTTTATTCATTTATACAGGCCCTCTCTCCCCTTTGGCATGGGCGGGTTTTTTCCTCTTTAACCCTGACCTACGTTTTAGGACTCTGAGGTGCGTAACCTGCTGTCTACAAAGTTGCCAGGTCAGCAGTGTCGACCATTTAGTGTTTTACTAAAAGCAATCCCCCAAAAGCTTGAATGTCATTCTGCAGAAGCGTTTGTCATCTTTCTCATAGCCCTTCATTTGTTACCCCTGTGTACCCGAAAGCACCTATGAAGTGACAGCATCAAACAGCAACATGGATCCTCCAGGTCTTTACCAGCAATCCTAATGCTCTTTGGTTTTTAAGCACTTCAGGGTTGAATGTTGACAAATGAAAGATGACAAGAATTTCATTTTGAATTCTTGGAAGACTCTCAGCTCTCCTCCCCATTCAGTTCTGACTTGCAGCCACTCCTCCCTGGCAATGGAAGCTTTGCATAAGGGACCCTGTCTAAAGCCATTTTGCTGCAGAGAAACAGGCCTTCAGGATCCTAACTTGAAACTCTGCAGCAGGCAAGGGGCTGCCTAAAATACAGCTGAATAATGTACCTGAGTAGGGTCAGATAAGAGTATGGTTTAGTACATTAATAAGATATGGGTAGAAGACTATGGAGAGTTACAACTATGAAAACCAAACTACTTCATGCCTGTCAGATGTTTGTCAAATAGACCACATTTGAATTTTCTGATCAAGAGAAATCCCAAGTTTTGAAAGAAATGCATTCCTCAAAGCAAATTTTGGAAGGGCCACGTTCATGAGAATTTGGAAAGAAGTGTCTGCCATCACTGTTGCATGTCAGATTCCCAGGACTGTTACTCTAAAAAGCCTGTGGTGAGTTAAATGGCTTCCAGAAAACTTCCTTAGTAACACTGTCATATCATAGAATCATAGACTAGTTAGGGTTGGAAAGGACCTTAAGATCATCCAGTTCCAACCTCCCTGCCATGGGCAGGGACACCTCACACCAAACCATGTCACCCAAGGCTCTGTCCAGCCTGGCTTTGAACACCACCAGGGATGGAGCATTCACAGCTTCCTTGGGCAACCCATTCCAGTGCCTCCCCGCCCTCACAGTAAAGAACTTCCTTATATCTAATCTAAGCTTCCTCTGTTTAAGTTTGAACCCTTTACGCCTTGTCCTACCGCTACAGTCCCGAAGTATAATTCTAATGAAAAAGACACTCTACTCACTTCTGTAGCTCTTTTCATCCCAGCACCTCTAAGCAATTTACAGACACTAATGAGTTGTGTCTCACTGTTATTATTCTGAAGTAAACAACAAGTCAGTTTTGCAATAGAAAAAAGAAGAGGCT